AAACGAATCATTTCTGCAATAGAGAAAAAAACAAATACAAAAACACCTTCATGAGCTCAGACTATTACAACACAGAGACATGAAGCTATCCACTGGTCACAACAATAAATTGTTTTAAGTTTTAATTTTTAATGACACACCTGTAATCTCAATCTTAACCCTTTCTGGTCAAACATCGATATATAATCAACATGGTAACTGTGCTTCCATGGACAAATGTCGATATACTATTGACAAAGTTTGTTTCGTGTTTCTGTGGTCATATTTCAATCATACATCACTAGTTGGCACTGTAGACTATACCAATGCATGCATGAATGTTTTGTCTGCCTCTTTCTGCCATCTGGAAGTAATACTTCTTGCAGAATGAATGTCATTTATATATTACAGAATGTCATGTTTTAGCAGCATGCTTTTATGTTCAGCCAAACCGCGGGCCCTCTGGATTTAAGAAACTAGATATAATCCCTTGTGCGATGTGGATGAAGAAATCTAGTAGTGATGTATTAAGTGAAGAACTTGATGTTGACTATGATGATGACATTAATTTGGAAATTGAAGGAAAAACTGAGAGTGAAGACTCGAGCAACGAAACATCGGAAAGTGAGAGAAAGAGAGAGAGAGAGCAAAACAAGTGCTGTGTGTTGGTGAGTGGAAAGATGTGACAATGGGTGATGTTGCATGTGGGGAGGTGATGCCATTGAATAAAGCAGTTAGGCGGCCAAAAAGACAAGAAAGTACATGGGGTAATATAACATATAGATAAACAATTTCATAAAAACTTTGTGCCAGGTAAATACACTGTAATAGATGAATCAACATCTGGGTTCAAGCTCAAAATAATTTTTGAAACTTATAATACATATAAAAAAATGAAGTAGGGCATCAAATTATTTGTATTAGCTGAAAGTGACACTGGTTACATTCAGAGTATAATTCCAAATTACGGAAACTTACATGCAACATGTGTACCTTACCATACTCTGAAAAATCATTCATTTCTAGAACAGTTCTTCCCTTGATGGACAGACTACAGCTCAGTGTGCCTGGTATTGAAGGCTATCACAATTTCACTGACAGATATTATAGCGGTGTTGAGTTAGTCCAAGAACTGAACAATTGAAAACGTAAGTACACATTTGACTTTATTTTTGTTGCATCAATTTTTCGGGCAAAACAGTTCAGTTAGTAGCTTGGCAGGCATTTAAAAACCCCTGATGACCAGGCTGCAGAATTTTTTCTAAACGTGACAACCAGAAAGGTTTAATGCAATTTAAACTGTAAAAGGTAAAAAAGGTAAAGTTGTCCCTGTGCTTAACTAAATAAGCATTAAACCATGAAGGTGTATGGGGGAGTGGATGTATAGATCCAGATTTTCTTGACCTCGGCATTAGCTGGAGGTGAGTGGTCAGCTTCAAGCCCCGGCCGCTTTACCCCCGGTACCCACTGGACAGAAGGCTGGGTGGGCCCCAGAGCCAGTGTGAAGAATGTGAAGAGAAAATTCTTGACCCTATTGGGACTCGAACTTCGACCCCTTGGTCATCCAGCCCATAGCCAGTCGCTATATCGACTGTACTATCCCAGCTCAATTTAACCTGTAATGCAATTAATATTAATAAGAACTACACACAGGGTACAATTGTACATCATTAAGTTATCTAATTTACTTCATATGTTACATTAGGTATGTGTAAACCAAGAGTATGCTTACTATCACACAAAGTGAGAGGTTAATAGATGTGATACAAGGTCACACATTACAAAGTCAATAATTAAATTGAGTATCTAACAAACACCTGAAGATGACCCTTTAAGGGTCGAAACATGTAGTGTTGACTTCAAATTAATCAATAAAAACACTGTTGCATTTGATGGTTGAACATATTTAAGGTTTTAACACCTTTTTTAATTGTAATACACGCAACAGGATTCAAACAATAAAAATAATTTCACATGATCTCTACACAGTCATTAAATGATCTGTAACAGTTCCTTAGATAAACTCTAAATTCTGGAGGTTATTTAAAGAATTATTACAGGTTTCCCATGCAACTGCATTTACCCTTCAGCAGCCTTGGTGTTTCAACCAGGTAGTGTTACGGCACGACTTGGCAGACTTAAGAATCCTAATCCTGTATTTGTATGAAGACTGCAAAAAAACTCAAAATGATCAGTCTAAGTCGTTTTAACTTCATAACAATATACTGCCTTTCAATGTGTTATGAGGACACTGTATTTAATGTACAATAATGCCTCCTCATTATTCTACATCTTGCCAAATGTGGAGGTCGCATCACTAAACAAACTACAGTTTTAAGAACTTAAAAATATGAACTCACAGCAAAAGTAGTTTAATGTCATATGATTAATATAGATGTGTTACAAATAACACCATATATTGTGACGTGTTGCGCAATGGAGGACACCCCTCCCTCCCCAGCAGTACGTGGCGGCACCGTAGCGCTGTCCTTACTCCCTGCGGTGATATAACACGCAACGCAGCTGTGACACGGGTAACAGGCAACAGTGGTACCCATTGCGTAATAGGCAGGCACTGCGACTATATAAGGGAACTACACAGCCACTGGAATTAGTTAAAGTTTAGCAGCCGCCGAAGACAGTTCTCAAGTTCTCGAGTTATCTAGTTAAGAGTCAGTCACCAGTTAATTGCAGTACAGTATTTGTGATACTGCCAATGGCAGTAATTATGGATCTGTAAATTGTGTGATTGTAAGAGCGAATGTGAAATAAAATTCGTTATATCCAGTAAGGCGTGAAGTTATTTGTCACATTATACACCCAACACGTGACAATATATTTGCATAATTATCACCCTCTCCTAATTCAAGCATCCTGATTTTTCACTGTGAAATTATGAAATTAAGATTATTTCACTAATTTCTTTTTCATCTGGGGGCCAATTCATGACATTCCATTCAAATATCGATCATGCAAACATAGTTCAAGAACCTTACAGGCACGAGATTGAACCTATCAGTTGATTAGCCCAGGAATTTCCAAACTTCACACGTGGTACCTGCTCTACAACTGCTTTGTATTCAGTACTCACATTCAATTCTAGTGTCTGTCGGCTCAGAGAAAAATCATAGCAATTTGTTTGAAAGTGATATTTTGTGTTATTCCATGACGAATAAAGTGAAATATTTAAGCTTTACAACAGACTTCAAATTCAAGGCAACAGAATATGCAGAAAAACATGGCAACAGAGTGATCACTTATGAATTTACCAAGTCAGACTTCAATGTGTGCTACTGGAAGAAGCAGAAGGATGTTACAAACAAATCCAGGAAAGCATTTCAAGAGGTGAAAAGTCACAAAGTCCCTGAACCTGAAGAGGAGATACTCGAATATGTTAGGGAGTTGTACAATAATGGTGTCAGTGACTCACATGAAATGTTGCATTTCAAAGCATATGAGACAATAACAATGCAGGGCATGGGCCTTTTACAACTTAAAAGACAGCATTGGCTGGATGTATTGCCCTATGGAGAGGAAAGGACAGTCACTTAGAACAAGAACATCGCTAAACCAACATACGCCAAAAGATTCTAATGACCACATTACAATGTTTCACAGATTTGTAACTGAATGGAGAAAAAAACAGCTACTTCTATCACAAAGATGTAACGCAAATCAAATTCCTACCATGTACATACTTTGATATGCCAACAAACAAGACCTGATGGGAGAAGGAAAAAAGCATAGTCATTCACACAACTGGAAAGTAGCACTGCACTGTGATGCTCCCAATAACTGCATATGGAAGAAAGTTGCTGCTGTATAACATTTAACCCTTACATCCCAGGGTATTAAAATTGACAAAAGGTGCAGCTGACTGGAGAATAAATGCCTTACAGAGATGAACACTGATCTGCAAGTTACTTCTGGAGGGTTAGAGTCAGTTTTACAGCCTACTAATGTGTCAGTTAATAAGACATATAAGGATTATGTTAGAAAACTGCACATGCAATTGACAGCAGAAGGTGGACATGAGTTGATGCCGACAAGGAATATAAGAAGACTGTTAACTGAAATGTGTAACTGGATAGCAGAAGCATGGAACATGGTGTTGATGAAAACAATTATGAAAAGCTTTATAAAAACTGGAATTACAAATGCTCTTGACAGAAATGTGGGTGACATGCTGTGGGCTGAAGACAAAAATGTGGATGCAGAAGGGGATGGTGAAACAGTGCCAGAGGGCAATTACTACTCAAGAGACGTGAGAAATGCTGGGACTGCTGGAGAGAATGGAGTGTGAGAAGGAGAGGCGGGCCTAACCTTTGGGCAAGGGAACAGAGTTCAAATCTTCCATGACTACACATGTGGAAAGCATATTTTAATTCAGAGGTAGCTATTTATGACCAGGAAATATGAGATTTTAATCTCCTGCTTATGCATGTCTCACAGCTATATTTTAACTCAGGGGTAATGGTAATATCACTGAAAAATTTCAATGTGCCATGTGCCAACCTTAATCATCAACACACAGCCAATAAAGATTACGAAAATGTGATTCATGATATTATCTGGTTCAGGGTTGTGAGAATACCCCAAAATTTGTATGAGCAAATATGTCCATTGTATCCATAAACAATTGGCAAAGATACAGAAGAAACTGCACTGAACAAAATCCACATCTGGCAAGGAGACTAAATTCAACTGATGCAGGCAAACAACTTGGACATTTGCCTTGGATGTCCAAAGGCAAGGAACTGTCACATACACTCTCAACCAAAAAGTGACAGCCACTATAAGAAAGCGGCTCCTGAAACTTACTGTCTGGCTGTGTGGTATTTTATTCTGAAATTAGCAACTCCTTGTAGTGGTTTTGCTCAGTGTGACAATCTTCCAAGTTACGTGCAGGCATCTACAGTACTTCACCCACAAGCACTCAGTCTCCATGGACAACTCATATCACAGGTGTTACCATGTTCCTGAAAACTATGGTATGATGAGACAGCCTACTCTTCAATGACTCCAGTTCAATGTACATGTATTGCAACCACACAATAATCTGGAAGATACAATGTAATGACCCTCACTATTATTTTAGAATTCCTACCAACTTCCAGGTATTGTACTGTCTGCCATGAACAAACAAAGTTCAGCACCAGGTGACACGCTCTTTCTTCACTGCAAAGTCATATAACTGACTTGCTTACTTTACACCAATTTAGTTAACACTGATCATTAGTCAAGGCCAACTTTATGCACATTTTACATACACATTACTAAATTATGTGAGGGCCAAACATGGCCTGGAGCAGAGGGTTCTCAGTCCCATTGTAACAACTCTGAAGGGAGCTGTCAGTGCACAATGTGTCATCATCAGCAAGTCAATCCAATATTCTGAAGTCCATGTTTTTTAATATACCTCTGGCGGGCATTTTCTATTAGACGAGCTTTGCGTTCATTGAAAGACAGCATTCGCTCCTGTGCTGAGCGGGCAAACGAAGGTGCCGATGTATCCAAACATGAACCCTGCAGAAAAATATTTAAAACGAGAATTGGCTTCATCAATAGAAAATGAAATATTCATACATATACAGGTCACACTCTTCTTTGTTCCATGGAAGCAAATTTCACACTATTATTATATTTGCCACAAAAACTCCAATTTAATTTGTAACTTACCAACTAAGTACTATTTTTGATCAGCACAATTCATGATTCACACACCAGTGGCATTACTTGTTTTAAACCACCCATTTTGTTTTCCATGTATTTGTAGTTGAAACAGTATGTTCACTGCTTACAATAATGCAAAATAAAATACATGTGTGGCTCATATGGAATCATTTGATGCCTTTTAACCCATTTACAGCCATAGGTGCATGGATGCAGTGTCGTTAAACTGGACAGCTTCACCAACAGCACATACATGCCTGAGAAGGTATTTTTAATCATTTTATTATTTCATGAAGTTGCAACTGTTTTCTTTGCTCTACCATGGTTTATTATGAGATGCATATTACTGAAAAATATTCTGACACGTATTGATACTGACTGATACTGTTCTGCTTCATTTTGGTAAAAATTTGCAGTTGACAGACATTGGGTTAAGCATGAAGAAAAGCAAACAAAGCAGCAAGAAAAATTTTATTATATGCAGAATACACCAGAAACCTCTACTAATAATATCCACACACCGCAAGGTCCAAAGCAGAATATTTCTGTAACCTGAATGATAGTAAAGTATAAGCACTGAACCACAAAACAAGAGATGTCACGTTTCACACAAAAAGTTCAAAGCTCATAAGGTCACATTCCTGGAACAGATTTAAAGCTCCCAAGAAGCAAACAAAATATGTGTCTGCAGAAAGAACAAAACTGAATGTGTTCATGTTTTGAGTGTACATTTTATCAGCACCCTGTTACGTATTACTGTGGAACCTCTGAAACCTTCATACCTCCATCAAGAGTGTGTGCCAGCATGCATGTGGCATGCACTGTCCAGGTCATACTGCACTCCATGTGCTGGAAGGTGTTGGACCATCCCCCCCACACACACAGTGAACTTGTCATCATGTGACTCCCATGCCTTTGGCACCATTAAGAGAGCAAGGCCACTGTTGCTATGGTTACAGTGGATCCATCAGTTGGTACATCAAAGGGATGGATCTCTCTCTCATACAAAACATGAGGAGACTGTTCTTATTACCTTCCACTCCTCTACTCACAACATTCCCCAAACTGCTTTCATTTGCATATGTCTCCTAATAATTATTTTATGCCCACATCCTGGTCATCTGTGACTTCTCCTGTTGCTTCACAACACAACATCTGAATACACTAACGGGAAGTCGCTGTGGTGCAGGTCGACTGCTACTTCATCTTTGTCACATATTAGATCAGCACCTGCTTCTAACGGACTGTATTACATTCCAAACATTTATTTAGTTACTAATAGTACTACATAATACAACAAATGCTTTACCTGTATAGTATTAGCTAGTGTGTGTGTGGCACTGGAAGTGGAAGGAATGTTCTTTAAGTCCTGCGTCGTCATACTCAAAGGGCTGGGTGATGGCAGTGATTCCACCTGTGGTATGTATGTCACCACACCTTCTAATATATTAGAGATGGTCACATCAACACTCCGTGTTCGGACTGCAAAATGGAACATGATAACTAATCTATGTCAGATCAGCTATAAACTGAGGAAATGAGAACAGAATCAGCATCTACCACACACGATCCAAACCTTCAGAGCCATAACCACCACAAATCCCATACTACCTGAGCTGTAAGCTTTTAACAACAAATTAGAACTGACTGCTTGCAACTGTTAAAATGACAACTCCAATGACATTACTATGCATATAAAAAAGCACTTTAAAAAGCTTTTAACTGAGATCATGCAGAGAACTGACTATTTTAAATAGTTTTTAATCTTCTTGTAAGTAACAAAACAAAATATAGAAGTAAGATATTGACTGAAAACAGGAAGCAAATTTTTCCTTCCAAAGACATAACTATGTAATGCGGGGAATATATATGGCAACTGTGCCACAGCACACACAACTATGTGCATTCATTTTGTGGGTTACCACCAATACAGCACAAAGACTGTACCATACTACAGCTGCCAAATATCCAACCCATACAATACTACAAAGAGGCCAGACTATCCCCAGACTGGCCAGCCAGAAATTTGTTCCCCCATGCTTGTTCACTGCTGGTCGCCAAACCATCACTTACTCACCTGATGCTTGCTGGCTTATATCAGAAGCATTCTGTGTTTAGTTGTCCTTGAGATATCTACAAGTGCAGTCACCAGTGTTCAGAAATGAAGTATACTGTTGAACAGAAACTATTCATATACAAATCTCTGCACAATATTCTTTGGGAAAGAAACACTACATAAAATTTCACAGTAGTAGCAGCCTGACAATACAGTGTCCTGTAAAGCAATGATTTACAATACCATAACAAAATTATGTTCCATAGGATCAGTATTGGACTGAAAGAAATCTCAAAAGAAATGTACTGACTGAAGAAAAATTTAGTAACTTTGATGCTTAATTAGAAATAACTCTGAAAAATTTGTTATGTCTTTTGAGTCTTCAGTGTTAACTGACAAAATGTACAGCTCAGGTTGGTACAAAACCGTTAAAGTTATGGTCTTTAAGTGGTTATGTAATCAGCCAGAATCAGAGACACTGGAGCACAGAAAATCCTCATGCCACTATGTGATTTGAGAGTTGAGGTTTGATGTGCAAGTAATGTATGCAGAATAACTGGGCCCATGTTCTTTCATGAAAAAACGAATTCTGAACATTATGTGAGATTGATTCTGTCACCCTTCTTCAATCAACTGACTGATTCTAAAAATCATATGGATATCTTATGCAAGATACTGCAATGGCACACACTGCAAAATATTCTATTGATGTATTACATTTAATTTTAAGTAAACGAGTCATAAGTCAAGGACCGTGGCCTCTGTGATGACCCAATTTTAATCCTTGTGATCTTTATTTGTGGTGAAAGCTGAAAGAAAAGGTGTTCATGAACTATCTGTACTCTTTGGAAGGACTTCAAGAAAATGTTAGGCACAAAACTGTTGCTATTCCAATACAGCAGTTTCAACATATGTCTAGAAACATGTTCTCATGATGTGAGGCATGCTTTGGAGCAGAGGGTCACCACCTAGCGACTCTTGTATAAAATAGTGTACGTTACACTACAGCAGAAAAGTAGGCTGTGAATTATCAGCTACTGTAGCAGGTGTATTTGAGAAGACTGCCATGTCAGCTGCAGCAACCAGTCTAAGGACATTCTGCCCTCCCTGTACAGACAGGGTGTTCTGTCATTCTAAGCAAAAAAGTGTGTATGTATGTGTCCTATTCTGAATGGTTCCCAAGACAAAGCTATTTAACTGTACAGTTCCAACATTGTAGATAACAAAGAAATATTACATACTGTTTCCAATACCAGTATTTATTGTTCTATTGACACAGTTGGTACAGTTCACCTAGTACAGCACATTTTCAAAAAATTCCACTGTCCACATCAATGCACTTTTCAACTCGTGTGAGGACACAGCATGTTACTCGTCTGTACAGTGTAACACCTCTATCTTGGAAAGCGTTCAGAATAGGACACATGTATATATATATAATTTGTTGCTTACAATGACCAATACTATGATCTCCAAGAATATTGATCTTTCCTCCTGGGACACCTGTATATGATCTTACAGTACATGTAATTCAGTGTTTCCTTTGTAAGACATGTCCCTCATGAACAAATGACTTGGAAATACGTGGGGAAATTAAACACATGAAAGTTCTTAATATATAATTATGTCAAGTCATGTCAAATGGTTGATAGTAAAGAATTTGGAATACAACAGCAATGACATCAAATATAAGCTGTATATAGACAGAAATGCTTGGTCATCTCTCTATGAGGAAAATACCTTTTTCTGTGATACAACTTCTCACAACAGAAAGAGCACACTATACAAATTCAGACCAAAGGACCTGAAGATGAAGAAGGGCAATTTACTGCCCCAGGTGCGAACGAAAAAAGGTCCGTGGGTCTGTACCATATACAGGTACACAGGGAACTCATACTGTCCTTAGACCAGACCAATGTAAACTGTACTTTTTGTCAGTTAACAATGAAGGCTTGAAAGATGTTACCGACTTCTCTGGGCTTGCTTTTGATCGAGCACTGGTATTACCAAGTTTCTCTGCAGTAAGTACCTGTTTCTTTTAAGAATCCTTACTGTCCTGCACTGATCATCTGAGGGAGGGGAGAAACAAAAATGTTATGATATTGTACATCATTGCTTTACAAGGCACTGTTCTGTCAGGCTGCTATTTCCTGAAACCTTCTATGGCATTTTCTCCATAAAGAATGTTATACAAAGATCTGCATATCAATAATTTTTGTTTAACAGTGTACTGCATTTCACAACACTGGCTACTGCATTTGTATGCATCTCAAGGACAACTAAACACAGTGCTACTGATATAAGCCAGCAAGCATCAAGTGGGTAAGTGATGGTTTGGCGAACAGCAGTGAACAGGCACAGGTTAATAAATTTCTAGCTGTACACTTTGAAGTTTGTCATCCCTGCTAAAGAACAAACAAAAATACATCACAAACAACACATGTTAAGTACCTGATCTTCCAACAATTACTGGATGACAAAATATCTCATACCGACAGAAATTACAGAACTTTTTACTATATTCTGAACTGAGTACAAATTTTATTATAGACATTTTGCATGGGACAATTATAATTCCCATAAATGGGTCGTGTGATTTATGCTCCTTCACATGGTTCCTGGTTGATGTCTCTGAACTAAACAGTTAGGGAGACAGAGGCTTTACCCTGTTATCATGATGGCTGAAACAACTGCAGCAGCTTCATAACCAGGGGGTCACTTCTTAATTCAGTCTCAAAACATTAATAACAATAACATCAGCTACAATTTACTTTCAGTTTTTATTGTTTCTGCTTGGTAGTGGCTTTCAGGGAACAGTCACAGCACTATCCTTCACATCTTCTGGACAGATTGATGTGCATCACAAAAATCTTATTCAAAGTAACTATTAGCTTAATTAAGGTTCAAACAGGGTATCTCCCAAATACAAGTCTATGAAGTTACTTCTGCATCAATGTGCTTGGCATCAGGGTGCCACACAGTGATTTAAATTAATTTCTCTCATGTAAGATTTGAGGTTTTCACGGCGGTGACTATGAAGAAAGCAGTCTTCTGGGATGTGGTGCTGTGTTATTGTCTTAACCGACGTTTCGGAGGAACGTATCGCCTCCATCTTCAGGGTAGAAGACAAAAAGAAATCCAGTGAACCAGCATGAGCACGAGCAAAAGACTTGAGTCCAGTCAAGTAAACCAGCTGTATAAGAGCAAGAAGAGAATGGAGAGGGGCTACATGGGGAATCAGAAGAGAGGAGGGAGGGGAAGGGTCTGGGGAGGTGGGCCAGCAGGTAGCAGGCCAGAGCAGGTATAGAGTATGTGTCGGGGAGAGAAGGCAAGGTTAAATGGAGGGCATTAACCCTGAAGTTCGGGGGTTGGGAAGTGAGTCGGGCATGGACCTGCGTGGCCTTGTGGATCTGGCGTCAGGTCCTGGAGGTTTCTTGAGGGAACAGATGAGAGGCTTCCATAACTTGCTGAGACAAAACCCCACCTCTCTGTTCATATTGTCGGGATGGAGTTCAATCTCAATGGCCTCCCTAATTATGCAATCCATGTATAGGGTCTTGGTGGCGAGGATGGAGGTATTCTGAAGCTGAATGTGGTGTCCCAAATCGATGCTGTGTTCAGCCACAGCTGACTTGTCCGGATGTTCGAGACAGATGTGCTGCTGATGCTCCTTCAAGCTCGTGTCCACAGAACAGCCCGTCTGCCCAATATAGACCTTGCCACACTCGCAAGGGATTCTGTATACACCCAGTGTCCTTAGTCCCAGGCTATCTTTGACCAGCCTGAGGAAACTAGATAGTGTCTTTGGAGGCAGGTCCACTGATTTGATGTTGTGCCAGGACAGCACTCTGCTGATACGGTTGAATATAGTCCCGACATAGGGCAGGAAGGCGACTGAGTCCGGTTTATCGTCAGGCCAACTGATGTTCAGATGGTTGAGAACTCTGTGGATCTGCTGGTTGTTGTATCTGTTCTGCCTCAAAACGTCCCCAGGAGCACCAACTCCGCATGTAGGCTTTCTTGATCACATAGAGCTCTAGCTCCTGCTCATGCTGGTTTGCTCACGGATTTCCTCTTGGCTTCTATCCTGAAGATGGAGGCGATACATTCCTCTGAAACATCGGTTAACACAATATCTACACAGCGCCACAACCAAGAAGACTGCTTTCTTCAATTTCTCTCATGTTTGCTTTTGCTTTAAGAATCTGAAACTTTGGCTCCTAATATTAGAGACAGAGAACTAATTTCTCACTGCAGTGACCATATAACATTACCATCTTCTGTGACGTGATGCCATGTAATATAGTAGACAGTTGCTGGTGTTTCAGAAAAACATTCTGCCTCCATTTTCAGCCTAGATAATGGAGGGTATACATTCCTTTGAAACTTTATTAAATATCTACAACACTGCAGAGTGTCACAACCCAGAAGATGGTAATCTTCATCTGGGAGAAAGTTAATTCCATCATGCTACTCACCAAGATCTCTAACGACGACATCGTGAGGCACATACGGCAGCACTTCACCCACCTGGTGAGCCATGCGCTGCAGTTCAGAAGTGGAGGTATTGTGGACAATGATGGGCTGACTTTGCTCCACTAAATATCGTTTCTCATACTCTGCTTTGTCTGAAGCAGTATGTTCGGTCACCACAACTCCCAGATCGGCGGCCAACAGTTTTGCAACACGCTCCCCTAACTGAACCTCACTTTCTCCAGCTTCTTTCACCACTGCCGGAAGATATCTGCAATAGATGAACATAAAAAACCATGCTCATGTCTAACAAACATCAGCACAGCTACCAAACAGAGTACACCAATCTGTCCAAGACCAGTTTTACCAGCATAACAGCACTCATCACCAGTATGGTGCATTTAGAGTTCTGAAGGATCAGACATTATAAATTCAAAACAGTACTACAATATTTGCTTTATAATATTTTTCAGCCTATAAAACAATCTTGAATGTAAGACGACTACTCCTAACGGAAAATTTCAAAGAAAAATAATTTTATTTCTTAAAAATAAAACTCTCAGGTGTAGTAGGCTCTCAATATAAAGTGGGTGTCAAGGGAAAGGCAGGTTCAGTTCCTGTGTAACCTGCAAAACTGACATTCATCTATTTCTGGAATCCCTGTTATTACTGATACAGTATTTAACCATTAACAAAAATATGTACATGAAATTTAAGGCATAATTAAAACTGTGGCTAGGCACCTAAAAAGGATGCTGACTAAATTTTGTTTGAATAAAATTATCCCGATCCTATTCAGCTTATTTATAATTTTCTACACTGTAGCAGTGAAACCTAAAATATTTAAGTTGGCGTACAATTCTTAACCTAGCATCGAAAAACCTTTCACATTTTTTAACATTTTTAATATACTTTTTAATATTTTTATAGTACTTCAACACATTATAATTTGATATGCAATATACCCTTATATTTGCCTTGTATCTTATTTATGTATTTGCAACTTTATTATAACATCCACTTGAGGCAGGAGTTTTATGTCAGTACATAACATGACGCATTGCACCGATAAGGATCCATATCAGTATTTCAATGACTATATGTATTCCTGCGTACAACTGCCTGATGATGGTCTTATGTGACCAAAACATGTAGCAGTATAAGATCGAAAATAAAACTGAGTATTTGTTGTGTTGATGGTGACATAATTCCTACATATACATATATATATATATAATAGACTACAGACTGCTCTGTACTTGCAGACTATGTCAAGGAATGTTCGACTACAGCTTCATGTTGTAATCGGAACAATTCAGACTAATTTGTACAATACATTCAAATCCGTGATATAACAAGTGTTTATTGTACTACCTACATTGTTCACAAAATGAAGCAATCTTGGGATGACTTATTAAAATTAAGAGCTAAGAACATCAGCAATATACAAAGCTTTCGGAATACAATGTAGTATATATATTCAGACATTTTGCTGACATTCCTACTGTCACTGTACCATGGCTATGAAGATTAACCTTCCAAATGCCATTCAAGGAATTACCGTTAAGACTTTCACTCCAACCATCTAGATTTAAAATGGTCTGGATATGCAGTACAGGAAGAGGGAGAATTTTCATTTGAAAAATTTGCGATGTGGCAACCTGGAAAACTGAGAAAAAGATGGGAATATAATATTTAAAGGCATTTGGGAGAAACTTGTAAGCTGAACTGAACATCCATTCTACCATTGCTCCAAGGAGTGTCTGTTACTTCTCACTGATAGCGGCCTCTGTAGTCTAGAGGTAATGTTCCCACTTCATGACTCGTAGTACGCGGGTTCAAAAACCCGGCGGAGGTCGTGGAATTTTTAAGGGCGGAAAAATTCAGGGAACAAGTCCTCCGGGAGGGACTTTAAGCCGTGGGTTCCGCGTCATAGATTTACGGCACGTAAAAGAACCTCATGTCTCTAGGAGACCTCTGAGCAAAATTAGGCAACATTTCCCGCCCAAGTAGTTTCCGATTCCTCCGGTAGATGGGTGAAGTATTAGGTACCACTGCCAGAGGAGGGGGTCCTCTCTGACAGAAGGGGACTATTAGATACCACTGCCAGAGGAGGTTGGAACCTTGCTGGCAGAAAGGGGCTGATAGTAAGCACCAGTACCAGTAGGGTATGGAGACAGTAGAAATTAAAGGGGGACGCACAATGGACCACTAACCGGTCTAAGTGCATGGGGAAACCCACCCCCTCAATACGGAATACGGAATACTTCTCACTGATTCTGGTACACACATAAAACTACTGCGCTGGTTCAAATGTCTTTAAATTAAACCTACAGTTAAAATCTGCATATGCAGACATTCGTTTTATATATTTTTCAAACTATATGAAACAAAAATATGCTTTTTTTGTTGTTATTGCTTTCTAACTTTGCTTTAAAATATGCCACTGGCCAACAGCGAGGGACTGAAACAGAATGGGACACATCAGTTTCTGGTCTATTCTGATGATAATTTACTAATCAAAAACATAAATACCATATAAAGAAAGAGTTCCAGAAGGACAGTTACATATTATACACTGCATCAGAGGAATCTGCTGAATAATAAATGATGTGCAACTGGATGCTACAATACAATATTATGAATACTGGATGGGCTACTGCTCATTAAACAGTCAAACATCTTCTCAACAGAACAGAGCAACCCTTGTTCAGTGGTAGCAGGCTGGAGCAACAAACAGTAATATTACATATTAGGAATTGACAAAATGGTGAGAAGATGCACAGAGTCCACTGCAAATCACTGCAAAGAATCATGGATACATATTAGTGAAACAGATGTAACAAGTAACACTTAAATCATTATATCACCATAATATTTAATTAAGGGTCTCTAAGGTCCTGCGGTTAATCTGCATACCAGACAGTCTACTATATTACTGTCTTACATTTCATCATGTTTTTAGCCTACTTTCCTTATTCTGAGAAAATAAAAGGAGGCTTATGAGATTACCTTGCTGTCTGTATATCCTTCTGTTCATGTATCCTTGGACTCGTGAGGCCTATGGGTTCACCTTGCTACCTATCTTTTTGTTTGTGAATCACCCCCTCCTAAGTTTTATTAGGAAGTTTATGAGATCACAATGCTGTCTGTGTGTACCGCCTCATTTTTTTGTTTTCCGTGCAGTCTGTGTCATATCAAAGGGAAGTAGGCAATTAGTTCTTCACAGAACTTCTTGTTTATCTCATACAGGATATAAGTAGGGTCATCTGTGCACGTGAGTCTCTGTGTGTGTGTGTGTGTGTGTGTGTGTCTGCTAGCGAGCAATATCTATATATCTAGGTATTAATGCTAGACTTTATGCAATTGTATTTATGTACTCCCATACAACCCATAATGCATTAAGTTTGTTCAGTGAAGAATAACCTATTAAGAAACCTAAACCCTGCACTGGACAAGGCTTTATTGTGCCTGAAGCAAAGGAATGCAAACAAGTACATTCTAAAAAGTCAACATAAGCTCACCTGAGAGTAAAAATGGTGCAAGGAACAAACAGAAACCAGAATATGTCTCCCCATATACCAGTAGCTAAAGCTGAGGCTGCAACATCAGCAAATGGCGGCCGCCACGCTCGGATAGTTAGCGGCTGAATGACATCACCCAGACAAAATGACCATGAAGAAAACCTATTAACAGCAAGTGCAAGATGGCTAAAGACACTGCACCCAGAGGCAAGACGAAATATAATAAAATGCTTCATCTCAAGTAACTAAATGTCTGTCTGAACGAAGTCCAATGGCATGACAAATAAAGCTACAAATGAAAAATATTTTAAGGATCATTTCTGAGCACTGGCAGGGTATCTACAGTAGGGTTCTTGGAAAACCAAGAAGAACACGGGAGGATATTAACAATTTTCTTAGAGAAATATTGTGCTTCTTGGACTGCAAGACACATCCAGATTTTAGAAGGAACATTTGAGGAAAAAAACCTACCACAGGTTAGAGGACATACAAAAAATGTAGGCAATTTTCAGGAGAAAAAAGTGAACCTTATACTCTTGAAATACAGCAGGCTGCATGGATGTAAGATGAACTGAACTGGCTCACCATCTGTTGGCAGACTTTTGTACTGGTAATGCTGAATCCCTGGATTCCAGATTCCCAGAATTCAACTTATATTAAATTAAAATATTCACCGGGTTCACAACACAAGCCTGCCCCTGTGTTCAAGTCAAGCCATCTGAATCTAATTCACACCATCACTCCACATTCTTCAAAATATTTCTTTTTCATTTCATGAAAATGTTGATTCAGATTCTAAGTCACCAAAAACCTACACTTACTTCAGTAATCCCACCTTCCCACTTGTTGTGGAACCCTCCGGATGACACAAGACTGGAGTGGCTGATTTCTCCAAGTGGCTTCGAACACTGGCCACAAGTACATCCCTCCCTTGCCTCAGGCCAAACTCCTGCATTCCCAGTGCCCACCAGAATGGTGCTGGCAGCTCCCACACACTGGGCTGCAGAAAGCACACAACCTACTAATATCACTACCACTGTTCAGATGCATTAACAGATATAATAAGCCCAGCAGGAAGCAAGAGTTCACAATGTCTGTAATTGGGAACATGCAAAAAATACTTCATACAAAGTATGTATATATGTGTACAATATATCTCCACACAACATTTCACATAACAAAGTCTAATGATTTACAGGTATCAACATCAGACCAAAAGCTAAATATAGACTTTACAGGGCCACTGCACTATTTTGTATTAAACAACAAATTACTTTAATGAAAGCTGCATATTTTTCAAAGTTCCACCCTTACATTACATCACATGGTGTCAGCACTGCTCACTCCCACCTCACATGTTCGTACAGATGATATGGTGGTAACTACTGACAACAGGCATTAAAAAGTAAAAGCAAAGCTATCCCTGTACCAGGCCATGAAGGCCCACAGGGTTGTGAGACGTTGAGGGTCTCACATAATCTAGACAATCAGCTCAAAGATGGCAGTAAGGTTGTCAGCCTTATGCATAGGCCGCGCTTTACTCCCCAGGAAAATTATTTAATTAATTCCTGGTACCCATTTCTGTTAGAGGCTGAGTGAACCCCAGGGTCATAGTGCAGCTGGAAGGATTAACTCAACTGAAAAAACCCTGAGGACCTCATCAGGACTTGAACATATAACCTTCCAGCTTGTAGCATAGCCCCTCAACCAACTACGATACCATGTGCCCTGACAACAGGCATTAAAAAGCAGAAAAGTGGAGCTGCCTCTAGAGGCTTGATGTGCTTACCAAGTTTATGAAATTCTGTCAACTGGCTCCAAAGTTGTTGGGTGTAAGCAGATGACCACATACATCAACAGATGAATGGACAGATGGATGGATGGGCAGACACAGTGATACCATGCATCTACCTTCCCTTATGAAATAAGGAATACAGGCAACAAGGGTAGGGAAGAAAGGCAATATCAAATTGTACTATACTATTATAGTGTGGTGGTGTGCAAAAGCTTAACAGCAAGGAGACATTTCACACCCACTGTGGATTTATTTGTAACACATTAAACAAAACAAGAGCAGAATGTTTTAAATAATAATGAACCCCTTGTGTGGCTATAAAAATGCCATATACCACTGACTTCATTAGTAAAGTCTATACCAACTGAAATCAGGCTTCACTGTACCTACGCCACCAACTGCTCCATATTCAATAATCATCCCATCACTGGCACTATACAGTCCTAATACTGACAGCATCATGAAATAACCATCTTAGAAGAAAAACTGTATCAGACAAGTGGGGTGCCAACGAAAGGACACTGGGATCATGACTTCTCCAATCTGTTTAGTTACTGGGTGTTCTTTTATGTGGCCAAGACAACTCTTTGAGAGTTCATATGCTACCCAATACGAAAGTTAAAATGGAATACGCATGCAGCTGAAAGTTATTTCACTTGAAATCTTAAAATGCCTGCCACATTATATACATCCGATGACAGAGACACATAATGAATCCTCATGGTCTCACACACTACATCATCTCATGTGCAGAGAATGAAAAAAGCATTAATATCCTTGATAAGAATAAAACAGATCATATCAGAAGATATATATACAAGAATTCTTCTATGAATGTATATTTAATGGTTTAGCTGTGATAATCCACATTTTCAATAACTGTGATCTTCAGGGCAATGACACTGTGTAACCTGCTAGACGAAAATAGAGGCAGAATGTTCCTCCCATTTCTAAACCAAATACGGAAGTGGTACATTCCTCCCAATGTTGATAACAGCCTACCAGACTACACAGGGTCATAACTCAGAAGACAATTTTCACTGCCATGAAAACCTCACACCTTATATATGGAGGGATACACTCGGAGAAGGCCCTGGGTTAATAATTATAAATCATGCAATAATTTACTGATGAAAACAAAACCTGGAAAGTACATATTTTTAGAGATGTGGAAATAACAGGGTTACAGAAAATGCTGACACTGGTTTTCCTCTGCCTTTAAAGATACAAGCTGACATGTCACTCCATGTTCATGAGTTTTGCAGGAAGCATGGTAAGACTGAAAGAAATGGCATGAACTGGATACAAATGCACCAGACCAGTACGGGTAAGTACACAATATTGACAAGTTTTCTTTTCAACTTTAAATTATTGTGTAATTTATAATTACTGATCCAACTGAACTATCATGCACTTTCAGAAAGTCTGCATTAATTGAAAGAGGCTCTAAAATGTATAACATACTTCCATTTTATCTTTTGCATGCTGCTTATTAATTAGATTAGTTCAGAGTACTTAAATTAAAACCACCATTGCCAAACAGACTAGCTCATCACTACTGCATTTCTGCCAATAGATGGTGTCAAGTGTGACATACTGATATTTAGAGGAATGAAGAGGCTTCCACAATTCTCTTGTTTGAATGTCATACAATGAAAGTAATTTTGGTTTGTGTGCCAGCAGCATTTACCACCAAACAGCCTTGTATTGGTCAAATCAAATTACACATGATGGTGCAAAGCCAGGCATTTGTCATGCATGTATCCGATTCTTCAAACGCCTCAGTGTTTAAAATTGTATCACCTACAGTACAGTGACTGAGGAAGAGCACTTACAGTGATGCTCCCACATACAAGATGAACAGCTATATGATCACAAGGTGAAATGTGATTTGCCACCAGAACTTTCACATTCTCATCCCTCACTGCAGTATTTTCTTGCTTCACAACAATGCCCAAGACAATGCACAAGGAGCGCAAAACAAAGCTGTAACATAGCATTGTTGAATTACAGGTACATAGCAGTTAATGCATCAGTACAGTAGAGCTTTACTTTCTGAGCATATTTTGAAGAGGAAGGCATACAGCAATAACATAAACTATCATATTTAAAACTTAAAAATAAAAATGTTTTGTACCAAACACACAAATAAGTCAGTCATAAATGAAATAAAATAGAAAATCCTTCTAGTTCAGAATTGTCATAATACCGTACTTCATCATGTTTCATACCCTCACTTTTCAATGTGAAATTAGACCACATGAAAGATATCAACATAACATTAATCATTACAGTATACAATTAGTTATCTCAAATATCATGACATAATGGCTGGAAGCCAGAACACAGGAATCAACAACAACACAATGTCAACTGAGAATAACTTGTAAATAAGGAGAGTTGTGTATAATTAACTATTTTAAACACCATGGTTACTATGTGTACCACATGCTGGAACATTAAAAAGCTGTGCACTTTGCCCACAGTGCATACACAAGTGTTCTGTGGTGTACTGGTCAAACTTCGGGAGCATGTTTTATAGGTTATTTGGAGTGAAAGTGTCTCAAGGACTATAGGTCAATTTAACAATATTATCGAGTCATGGGCTAGCATAGTGTAGCACTGAATAAGAGGCCCTTTCAACTCACATTTATTATAATTTTAATGCACACAACAATTAAGTTTCAAAGTTATTACAACACGTGTTCAAAATGACCACTATGCATGCTGCGAATTGTTGTGCCATTAAAAGGTGCCACCACACGTGTCCCAGTTCATTTCAGATATCAATGGTGGCTTCACCTATGGCTTTTACCGATGCCTTGCTTCTGGGTTACCACCATGATACACCCTCCATTTCATCTAACCCCACAGAAAGAAACCTAATGGGTTTAAGTTGGAAGACCAAGTGGGCTAGGACTCCAGTCCACCTCTTCCTATCCATTTTCCATCACAATCTTCGATTAAAAACTCTGTTACTGCTCTGCTGAAATGTGGAGATTCTCTGTTATGATGTAGCCACATTCATCTTGGTGTTGCAAAGAGGCATATCCTCTAAACACAGCGGTAATATACTTTTCCAGAAAATTCCTGTAATACAGCTGTTAAACATCCCTTAGTAACGTGTGTCCAATAAGGTCTTTGCCTAATACTCCACACCATGCATTAGCTAAAAATTGGCATTAATAATGACATTCTGCTACCACATGTGTATTTTCATGTTCCCAATAATGTTGGCAATACCATCCCAGGTAAATTGCACCTCATCTGTGAATATAATGCCATGCACAATGTGTAGCTGTGATTGCAGCCATTCACAAAATTGTACACTAGGCATAGTTGGCATGATCACCCACTAGGAGGTGCTGTACTCATTGGAAGTGAAATGGATGCTAAAACAGCATGGTGCAAAATTCTCCATACCTGTGTCTGCACTACTCCAGTCATCCAAAAAATTTTGCGTATACTTCTACTTGGACTTCACTACATTGTTGTAAGAATATCATCTCCATGCCATTGTTGTTCATGTTCTGCATTCACTCAAGGGAAGGACTCACTGCGTATGTTCTCAAATGTTCTGCGATGTGGAATTCTCTGAAGTGGATATTGTTCCCAGTATTCCACCACAGCAGCCCTACCATTTCCATCACAGAAACCATGCATGTAATGCACGTTGGTATATTCTTCATTTGCAAATGTGTCAAGCATTTTGACTATGACAGCACTGTAACACAACACAGCCACACTACCCTAGACAGTGTACAAGCAGGAACTTGGTGAAGTTACAGTAGTTCCAGCTCATTCTACTACCTCTTAACTCGATAACAGTGCTGAATGAACTTATATTTTATTGGACACTTTTTGCTCCAAGTGACTTGTACAAGGGCTATTCAGAAACTAAACTCCATTGAGTTGTTAACAAAACAAGCGATGAGGGAAAAAAGTGATTGTATACAAAAAATACATACATACCTACGCTAGTTCTCAACGTAGTCACTGCTGGAATTGAGGTCCTTTTCATATTGGGGAATAGGGTTTTGTATGCCTGTGTCAAAGAAGTCTGCTGCTGTGAGCTCAGCATGTTTTGACATCTTCCATCAACTCCTAATTATTGCTTAAGCACTGTAATCTGATTAAGTTCTTCAGGTAGGTAAGAAACAGGTAGCAGTCACTTGGAGCGAGATCAGGGCTGTAAGGAGGATGGTCAAACAACTCCCAGCTGAAATGCTCCAGCAGTGCTTGAGTACAAGCAGTAGTACTCATCTGCGGACATGCATTGTAATGGAGGAGCGCTACACCAGATGTTAGCATTTTGCACCTTTTATTCTAAATGACCCTAGCAATTATTTAGGGATTTGCAACATACTTCTGATGTTACTGTGGTCCCTTGTTGCAAGAATTCCACCATCAGCACTTTTTCCTGTCCCAGAAAACAGTTGCCATCAGCTTTCTGGCAGACAAATGATTAAACCTTTTCAGTTTGTTTTGTGAATGTGTGTGTATCTACTGCTCTGATTGCTTTTTGGTTTCAACATTCACAAATGAAACCCAGGTTTCATCACTTGTTACTCGTACAATGTGACTGAGAAATTCATCACTATCTTTGTGGTATTGCTCTAATCGTCTAAGCCAAAACTATTCCCTGCATTTTGCGTGCACCCGTGAGCATTTTTGGAACCTATTTTGCATAAAACTTGTGATCGCCAAACCTAAGTGTGACAATCTCGTAGAGAACAGTGCATGAAATTGCGAAGCACCGTCTTTCATAATTATTTTGGTCAACACTTTGAACAAGGTCATCACTCACTACAGATGGCCGATCACTTCACTCTTCATCGTGAATATCTGTTTGCCAGTCTTTGATCATTCTATACGGATGTCTTACACCTCCTTCACACTTTACACTTTGGTCACAAACCACGGATAATTCACCATGAATTTCCACAGCACTCATGTTTCTAGTGTGAATAAAGTGGATAACAGCGCGAATTTCACAGCTGGCAGGATTATCAATTGCAGGACATATCATAACTCACTCTGTAGAAACAAGAACAAACACTAGCCTACCAGTTGTGATGGTTTATGAGGCAGTGAGTCATGTGATGCTACCTCACACAAGCTCTCCCCCAATCCTACATTAGTTGACTAAAATAAAAGGAGGTTACCTCAAAACAGCCCTCATAGAACATGTCCCTGAAGTTTGGCCAGCATGTCCTGGACCACCCCGATTATGTTTCATACGACTGTCACAACAAACAGCAGTTACTTCTACTTCCCTATACAGCATTAACCAGTAGGTCTTTGTAATGAAACTGCAGTTTGTTTTCTGCAAAGTAAGAAGCTAGTTTCTGTACATTATTTAGATAAGTTTCGGGCTTCAAGGGTTTCAAACTGTATAAAGGGTGAGTGCAGAAAGATGAGGAGTGTAAAAACTGTTAAGAATACTTTTGTTTCATGGTCATTTGAAGGGAAATTAGGATAAGAGGTTTTTGGACCAGACAAGCTGGAGGTGTAGACCACACTATGTACCCACCAAGAGGCCGCACCATAGCTCAAGTGGTTAGTCACTGGCTTCCCACCGTGGCGGCCCGGGTTTGATCCTGAGTCTGGTCATGTGGGATTTGTGGTGGACAAAGTGGCGCTGGGGCAGGTTTTATCCCCTGCCAATCTTCATTCCACCAATTGCTCCACAATCACCCTCACCTATCATCTTGGGCTGGTACAACAGGCCAGAAGTGGCTGCAGTACAATGGACTTAGTCCCACCCCACTAGCAATAAAAAAAATGTACCCACCAAGGTCTATGTATGCACACAAACACATATTTTAACAAGGTGTGATATTCCAGAGCTGCTTGGCTATGTGTATCCTTTATTTTGTTGTTCCTGCATACTGTTAGAATGAGAACAGAGCTGGACTCACATGGAAGTGACATTAACATGTCATGAAAGGCACTGAAGCATATATGTCAAAATTCTACACTAACAATGCAACAGATTTAGCTATGGTACATAATGTTAGTACTGGCACAGAACTGGACACAGTATGTACCACAGGGTGCATGTTGGTAAAAAGAGACATAACTCTTAACACTTTGTGGACCGGCAATTTAAATATTTAAATCAACCTGGGGACTGGCATTTTTAAACCTACTACCCTAACTTGTGCACTGTTCACTTTAAAAATTAATATAAAATCTCATAATTAATTTTATGAACTTAAATTTTTGGAGAACACTTACCAATGCTCCTAGAAGTGCTTGAGAGTGTGATATTTCTGGAAACATTCCCCTTTGTGAAGTGGCATTACACAGAACTTGCAAATGTAGGCAGTCATACTCCTTTTTCTGTGAACTGTGCAAACACGACATTGCCTAGAAGGATACTTCCCCTTGGAATGTTCACTCTTCACAATTTTCACGGGGGTATATTTCCGCATATCACCCAAGAGTCGCCCACGGGGGTCCACATGACGCCTGAGAGGGGTGGGAGTTGACGGTCCCAGTCGCACTAAGTCTGTGTCTGACTTTCGTTCTCTCGCCATCATCTGATCTGTAGCCCAGGCCTTTGCCACATTCATCAGAAATGCTTTGTATTTCAATTTCGAATTGGGGTTTAGATTTTTGTAAATCAAAAATGAATTGAAAATGGCACAATTTATAAGTCACAAGGCAACTTTCTTTGTCCACTTTATTGTTTATCTATGAAGAGAATAATAGGCCAAGTATTGATCGGCTCTATCAACTCCCTTCATGAACATATTATACTCAGAAATACAAATAGGCTTCTTTACTTGTCCATGTCTCCTTTGAACATGAACCATGCTCGAATTGTGAATTGTGGAAATCATATTCACAACACGAGTATCTCTATCTCCAAAAAACAGTTCTGCTACTTCAGACACTTGCGCTGTGTCCGATGGAATTTGTTTCACCCCTGGATTTCCAGTAAACTGTCCCAAAGTAGGCGTTTTGTCTACTTTTCCCCATGTGGCTGTACCCGCAATTTTACTACCTGCACTTCTGTCAGAGCTACTTTCACTTTTATTGTCTGTGGCTACGCTTGTTTGTTGACCCCTCTCACTGCCACTGTCTCAGTTTCACTACTCCTCTCACAAGGCAAGTCAAATAGCTCATCCGAGAACGAGTAAGATATTTCTTTTTCTCCGAGATATCGCTTCGTCTTCAACTGCCTTGATTCATATTGCACTAACATCCTGCCTGGTACATAACAACTTGAAGGGTCAAAGATTATTTTCCTTTGGAGGGGGAACCAAAACAGCGAGGTCAAGTTACTACCTACTAGGCTAACATTCCAGAGTAATATTACGCAGTAGTCATTCATTTGGGTGGCACCAGAGAGATGTATAGTTTGTTGTAACTTATCGTTTTCTAAAAACCAGTTAACAGGCGAACGGTCCACCACGTTTAAGAGCGAAAAACCTTTTAAAGGGTGCACGGTCCGCAAAGTGTTAAAAGTGATCGACTGTAATGTACTGTTGATGAAGTCTAACAGTATAGTAATTAGTTGATAATTCTTAGTAGTAACATTGCTTTTACAAAATCTCATACCTGCATTTGATGACAAACTACTAGAATTTGGCAACTTTGTTTTACATTTTGTTGCAGGCAGCTTCTTTTGTGAGAAGGTGTCCACAACACTGGCAGTATCTACATTGTACAGCACTGAATGGCAAGATGAATGATGAATTGGAAAGAATTTGAAAGGAAGCAGTCATGACCTAACTGAGGCATTATCCCGGTACTTCCTTGAAATGACCACAGAAAGCCACAAGAAACCTTAGTCAAGATAGTTAGTGTCCTAGCCAAATTTCAAACCAAGCCACCTTCCTAATACGAGTCTGGAGTGTTACCACTAGACCAACCAACTTGGTTGTTTTAGAGATGCCACACGAAAGGCATGAGGTATCACTGGATTTGCTACATGTCACATGATCTAATACCCAAGTAAATGCACTAGACAAGACACTGTACCATGTCAAAGAAATACAATGCATGTGACATGCAGAATACAATAAAATTTATCCTGCTGTTATAGTCTGAAATCTGTGACCATATCTCAGGTATCTCTTGCAGGTGAAGAGAATATGGAGCAAGTACCGTAACTCACTCCAAAGTTACCACGTCACTAATGTAACCATGGCTCCAGTTATGAGTCCAATAGTATCTTTTACAGAAAAAGTTGTGATATCCAGTCCAGCACTTCCAGGACCACAGGGATGCCAAATATCATAATATTTTGGATATTAGAACATAATGCCTAATGTGTATTTTAGTGTACCTACCCACCCTGTCCGTGGACAGACATGACCATTTGATTTGTCACTTGATATTCTGTCCTGTTTTCCTTGCAGCATTTCTCTTATCATCATTCCTTATGAAATGTGGTGTGCATAAAATCCTCAAACCGATGACGACATTTCATCGCATTCACACTTAGTCACTTCCTGGTCAACAGAACTTTTTGGATCATGCAGTACCAAGTATAGCAGCTTTTACTATGTAACTCCATACACTGCACACTCTGAATAGTTTACATTCAGCAACCTTTTCCCTCTATATTATTTTTTCACAAGTTTCCTAAAATAAGGTATATTTAATGTAACAATATTGTGACCTGATGGCTGAAAGCTGGTATAGTGGAATGAGTAGAGGCAGTCATTCCTAGGCAACAGCATGGAAAACATGTTTCCACAGAAATAAATCAATATGCAACAATGGAGGAAATATTGGAAGCGGTGTTTTCTGTGTGGTCCACACCAAGGCTATATAATGTAGGCCAGCAGCAGCTGTGGAGACTGTGATCTGCTCTGTAAAGCCTGTACTGACAGAGGACTTGTGTGTAAAGCAAAAGGAAGAGTTCTTGATAATATATTATATATGTGAAATATACACCTGACGAAAGGTCGAGTGTATTCATAAGAGACAGACCCATCTTCCCATCAGAGATGATGTTACATAAGGACTATTACCACATGAGTTCAGTTGGGAAAAAAAAATCTCTGGTCGTGGGCCTCAAGGGGCCTGACACCAAGATAAACTGATTGGCGGTAAACCGCCAGTCATAAGTAACTCTGACTCTGACTCTGTGGAGGCTTAGGGCCCCTCAGACTCATCTTACATTGAATGGGCAGAATATCCCCTTTGTCAATCATGAAAAATACCTGGGCGTAATCTTCGATAAAAGGATTACGTGGAGACTTCACATAGAAATGATTGAAGCCAATGCCTCAAGAATATTTATTAGAATCTACTCCCTATTCAGAAGTGAGCGCTTAAATGCAAATATTAAACTAACCCTCTATAAGGCACTGACCAGATCAGTAATGACTTACGCTTGTCCCACCTGGGAATTAGCGGCAGACACCTACCACCTAAAATTGCAGTGCATGCAAAACAAGGTTTTGCACACCATTGGAAATTTTCCAAGGTGCACACCAGTCTGTGACTTGCACACAGCTTTCAACTTTCTGTATGTATACCATTATATGACAAAAGTGTGCAGACGACAAGCAGAAGTCATACAAAATCATGAAAATGAACATGTTCGCCAGTATAGGACAAGGTGAAGCCAGACACAGAAAATATAAGAGGCTTTAACCTGGCAGTGGTCAAGTTTACAACCGTTCAAATGATTTAAGTTTACGTTGTAGCATAAGATATGTAAGTTAGGTATGATCTGCTCTGTAAAGCCTGTACTGACAGAGGACTTGTGAGTATTGCAAAAGGAAGAATTTTCGATAACATGTTATATGTGCGAAATATACACTTGATGACACTTGACATGTGACACTGTATGATACTCATTCAACTTTAGTCAAGTGTCACAATGATGGGGTTAATTGGCCAAGCAGAGTGTGACACTTTCCATGACAAACCACTTACATCATGCACCATACAGAAAAGCTGATTACCTTTTCACAGCTGGGAGTTGTGGGAGCAGGGCAGCTACCATCAGTGCTTGGAGAGCTATAAGCAATCTAACACCTGCCAGCACGAGCCCAAATGGTGTGTAGAGCACCAAAAATAGTGCTTTCCATCCTGAAGGATACCTACAATATACACATATAAATTTTGTAATTCTCCATTGCAACTGGCATTTAAAAACATGTTTAATTTAAAGTGCATGAAAAATATGTTGTCCAGGCAGGACTATATTCCATATCCAAATTCAGAGCCAGTCTCCTTGTTCACATGTTGGCCTTAAAGCTGAATAATTCGTTTCACTTTAATTTATCCCCTTGTTGCATAATACACACAAATGTAATACATTAAAGTAGATGCTTCCAGACCAAATGTGCTATATTTCATAAACGTAGATGTTACAATATCAGATTTGCTATTCTTCACAGCAGTCACTATGAACTCTATGTGACATTGCATAGTCTGATGTTTTGGATGAACAGCTGTCTCCATCTTTAACTCTGCCTGCTATCTATTTCTTGACAGTTGTTTAGCTTACTCTTCAATGCAAAACCTTCAACCTTGTTCTTGCTGGTTACTTCCTTTACTTCCTCTTTGATGGTCTGCTTGCTGTCTGCTTCTACGAGGGCTGGAACTTTAATAGTGGCAACTATTTATTTACAACTGATACAAAATAGATGCATGTTTCAAAGTTTAACTGTCCTTCAATTTAGTCACCAGCATTGTGTACAACCCATTGCCAGCGATGTGGAAGTCATAGGATACCTCTAGCAGCGCCTGCTGTGTTGATAGTTCAAATGGAGTGGTCTACTGCCTGAAGAATTTCTGGAACAGTTCTGAAGTGAATGCCATGAAGTGGTTCCTTCATCTTAAGAATCAAGTCAAAGTCACAAGGGCTTAAGTCCGGGGAGTATGGTGGATGGTACAGCACTTTCCAGCCCCATTGACCAAACAAATTAACCACAGCTTGTGCTGCATGTGGCTGAGCATTGTCCTGCAAAATGATGCATGGGTTCTGCAGAAAGTGTCACCGCTTCTTTCTCAAAGCTGGTTGCAGGTTGTGTTCCAAAAATGAATAGTAATACTGCGCACTGACAGTATGCTGTCGGGGAACGGTATGCATTAGGATAACACTATCACAGTCGTACATGAGAATCACCATAACTTTCACATTGCTGGGGTTCTGACGAACTTTTGATTTTAGTGGTGACCCATAATAATGCCATTTGTTCGACTGGTGTTTCATTTCTGGCTTGTACGATTTGGCCCATGTCTCATCCAGCGTAATGATACTCGTACGGTGTAAGAAAGCCTCTCCTTCGTGCTCATTATTATTATTATTAGAGGGGGTGGGTTTCCCCATGCACTTAGACCAGTTATTGGTCCATTGTGCGTCTGCCTTTAATTTTCTACCATCGCCAAACCCTGCTGGTACTGGTGCATTCTATCAGCCCTGTTCAGCCAACGAGGTCGGCCGTCAGTATCTGATACTTCCCCCATCTACCAGAGGCATTGGAAACTACTTGGGCGGGAAATTGTTGCCTAATTTAGCTCAGAGGTCTCCTAGAGACATGAGGATCTTTTACACGCCGTAAAATCTACAACACGGGACCCACGGCTTAAAGTCCCTCCCGGAGGACTTGTTCCCTGAATTTTTCCGCCCTTAAAAATTCCATGACCTCTGCCGGGTTTGAACCTGCATACCTTGAGTCATGAGGCGGGAACGTTACCCCTAGACTACGGAGGCCGCTTCCTTCGCGCTCCAAGTGGTTACGAGCAGTGTCGTATCGTAGCCATTTCTGCATTTCTGTCAAATCATGCGGAACCCACCATGATGCAATTATTCTCGTGCCCAGGTGTTCCTTCAGAATGTGAAGCACAGACGCATGCACTAATCCTGTCTCTTGGGCCAGCTTATGAATCGTGTGGTGTCAATCACTCTCCAGTAACGTGGAAAGAGCATACACTTCTTCACTGACACTAGGACGACCTAGCCGATGCATGTATGTCACATTTTGGCATCCCTCGTTGAAGGCTTTTACCCACCTTGCCACTGTTCTGTAAGGCAATGCAGATTCCCCGGAAGCCTCTTGAAGACCTTGATGACACTGTCATGCTGTATGGCCTCTGGCACATTCAATCTTTATCCAACTCTGTTGTTCCTGTTTCAAAAACATCGTGACAACACTACATTAAACTGCCAGCTAACATGAGGCTCTGTTCTTCTCGTCACTGCGCATGCGCATGATGTGGGAAGGGAGAGTCCATTTGCTCTGAGGTAGGTAGGTAGGTATGTAACTAACGTGTGGTATAAGCGACATTATTTGGTTCCATTGCATGGTGTCTCTACAGCAGTGTTGCCACTATTAAAGTTCCAACCCTCGTAGTTGGTTATTTGTTTGGCTTGTTCTTCAACCGTGAAGATGGAGGTGGTACATTCCTCCAGACTTCAGTGAAATAGTACCAGGCTACAGAAGACAGTATTCTTTATAAATGCTGCTATCCAATTAAGTCCAGAATCTTCCATCACCTTGTCTAAATGTAACTGGCCCTTTTTTCTAAGTACAAGTACCTGGTACTCAGAGGAACATGGTAGAGTAGTTGGTTGAAGCACTATGCTACCAGCTGGAAGGTCACAGGTTTGATTCCTGATGTCACTGGATTCTTCAATTGAGCTAATCTTTCCAGCTGCATTATGGCCCTGGGATCAACTCATTTTCTAATAGAAATGAGTTCCAGGAATCTTCTTGAGGGTAAAGGATCGTTGGCATGTAAAGTTGACAACCTCACTGCCATCTATGAGCCAACTCTAGAAAATGTGGGAGCCTTGACATCTCACAACCCTATGGGCCTTCATGGCCTGTTACAGGGATATCTTTACTCTTCTGTACCTGGTAATCTCCTGATCAACCTTTGCCTAAGAGTTAACATATACAGTGCACTGGCAGGTGTGCGATGTCAGACTCCTGTTTGTCAGCATGCATTCCAGCTGAAAAAAAATCATCGGATACTACCCTTCATCTTGGCCTAGGTCTCCCAAGTGGTTTCTCCCCTTCTGATTTCTAAATTAAACTTTTGCATACATTTTTAATATTTGCCATGCATTATATATACTTTTCCCATAACACCCTCTTTTATTTGTTCACTCCAGTAATGTCTGGTAAAGTTACAGTATAAAACAGAAGCAAAATAAACACCACCTTCAGAGCAGCATACATTGCTCTTATATTAATTCTGTTTTGTTTCAAAATGTTGTTTTTAAAAATTACCTTAAACCTGTGTTAAAGAAACTGAAATCACAATTTGAGATCTTGTGCCTAAATGATGTATACATACCAGTACTTGAGTAAACAGAAATGTGTTCCAGAGCCTTCCTCATATTCCTACGTGTACCAGAATAACTAGATACTTTCTAAGCAAGCAGTTATATTGACTTCGTTTTTGAAATGGCCAGTCAGGCAAGTATTTCTACTTTAAGATAAAAGAATAACACTTTGGTTTAAGTATTAAACAAAGACATTTGTGACTGCATTTTACCACATATTTGATCCTCCAAAAGATGCACTGATATTCTAATGTGATCTTCCCTTTCCTGCTCCTGGGAAATAATAGTCTTTTCAGTAATACCGTAATATGCATGTATGTGATGTGAGAGTAGATGTACCCTAAGAAAACCTGGTTCTACCATGCTCAACAGGAATTGATCATTACACAGGAGCCAGGACTACACATCTAAATAAAATACAATAAAATAAAAATAATTAACCAATACTGGTCTAATTTTAACTAGTTAAAATTATCCTGTTTACTTTAATTTAATTAAAACAAATTAGCTATGATGCAAAATTGAAATCTGCATATACTGCAAACAACATGTACCCTTCAGGAACCAGGGCAAAGGTTTATATAATTTACACAACAATACGACCTTCCCCCGATTATAAACAATGGCCAATGAAGGTTGGATAGCAGAAAAGTTCAGAGGGACTGCGTAAGTATTGCCTGATAATTGCCTGAAATAGTGGTCGAAATATGTACGTAGTGTAAAAACTGCATAATTACCTTAGAATTATACATATATTGTGAGATTGAAACTGAATAAAACCGTCTTTCCATTTTTTCATTTCATTTGACTACACATCACAAGTACTGCAGTGTAGGATTTCAGGTTCTCACAGCAGTGGTTATGAAGAGTACTATCTTGTGGGATATAATGCCGTGTAGTCCGTTAAAGTCAGTCGACGTTTCAGAGGAACATTTCTCTCCATCGACCCTGGTCGAATAAGCAGAGCAACATTCCAGCGTGAAAGCAGGTGGAAATCACTGGTTGACTATAAACGGACTACACGGCGTTATGTCACAAATACTGCAGTGTTTACGTGGATGTTCCTAGCAAACGCAAGTATCTCATACAATCCATTTCCGGCAAACACAACGGAGCATTAAACGACTTACACAAACGGTACTATTCCATATAGTCCATATGATACCACACAGGCTACTTAACGTTACCTGTTTTCGTCGAAAAGTTCCTTTACTTCCACATTAGACATGATACAGTTTGTCACTTTCTGCAATGGGCTTCTTAAAATATATAAATATATAGCGAGTCTGTTAGCTCAATCTGATACAGTCACAGAATAAACATTATCAACACAATTCGTCACCACCTTCACATGACGCCATGACACAGGCTGAACCCAACCAGACAACACGGATAAAACAAGTACAGATGTGCAACTCACCATTGATTACGTATGTAGCTTTACACATAGATGATATGAGTCAGCATCGCTAACAAGGTCAACAATGAGGTCAACTGCTTTGCACGATTTGATGTTCCCGTTGCGTTCAGTACCGTTCAGTACGATTGCTGTCAGATTACTGTCATTTGGGATATGGCCCGTGTCGTCCAGCAGATGGTTACCAGAGTTCGAGAAGAGTGTGCTGCATCTCCAGAGTATAATATGGAGCCAGCACTTCCCCTCGAAATGCCGGTAACGAACTTTCCAGTTACACAGCGTCATATCCATGAAGACAGTAGTATTTTTATGTTACTATTCTCAACTCCCACCCCTCCGGTACACATCCACTATGCTCATGCTATACCAATAAATTATCTAGAAATCCCGAAGCACTTCTATACTTATGGCCCATTTGCACCAAACACAATGACATTGACAGGGTATGCACCATCAGTGGACCAACAAAATATTTTCATCTCTACTGCAACAAGCGTGATGGCATTTACATCACCGGCAGACACCAGCCAAAAATGTTCAGATTCATATTTTGGTGTTCCAGTGCCTGTCGATCACAGAGGCCAGCAGGTACATTGCAGACCATGACTGACTGGGATGAATGAATGTATAAGGGGTGGGCCTTCTTGGCCCTTGCACCATGACCTACAGTGATCTATTGTGCTTCCCCTTTTGATTATCTCCTCAGCAATCCTGCACTTTGAATGAAGCACAGGATTTTGTATGTGGGGGGGGGTCAAAATAGTCACTTGGTTCCATAAAGTATTGACCCAAGTGATGTAATCTAAAATAAGCTAAGGCCTCACATTCACACAGGATATGTGTGGCTGTTTCATTTTCTTCTTGACACCTCTCACAAGAGGGACAATTACTTAGCCCCAGTTTGAAGAGGTGTCCTTTAAAGTGACAGTGTCCTGTAAGTAGTCCCACCACCCATCGTAGCTGGTTCCTGTTTAACTTCAACAGTTCCTTCGCTCTTTTAGCAGAGGGTCCTTGTATGAGTCCCTTTGCTCGCCTGAGTCCAGTCAAGGATCCCCAGTATTTCTTGTGCTTCATATTTGTCCAGTCCCTGATTGCCTTTCTGGCAACTCCTATAGAGATGTCACAGGCTGGTTCAGGTCCTATGAACAGATGTTCAGCTCCAATCTTAGCCAGCTGATGACTGACTGGGATGTTCCTGCACTTTTTATGGATCGAAGTGCATATTCAAACAGACAGTTAAGACCGTTGATGTGGGTCACCCCAACATCGTTACTGGTCATTACATATAGTGTGAATTGACGTTTCATTAGGCAAATTCACAACCCTGTAGAGGGTACAAGTCCTTTCAGTCCATCAGCGGTATATTATACAAAAAATTCAAGTCATATCAATATTAATTTAGATTGGACATGTTTTCTTTTATTATTATTATTATTCTTTATGAGGTGATGCTAAGCCCACTTGGCACTGCAGCCACTACTGGCCTATAGTACCAAACAGATGATAATGGTGACTGTGGAGCAACTGGCGGAATGAAGATTGGCAGGGGAAACTGAAGTACTTGGAGAAAACCTGCCCCCCATGCAACTTTGTCCACCACAAATCCCACATGACCAGACCCAGGCTGCCACAGAGGGAAGCAAGCAACTGACCCCTTGAGCTATGGTGTGGCCCTTGGACATGTTTAATGATGATATGTAGACTATGCATTTCTATGGGTATCTCACAAAAACATTTATCAGAAAGACACATGTATTGGACAAAAGTTGCAGAGGAAAATAAAACACTGAAAATGCACCTTGCAGAAATGGTATCAATGCACAACTGGTATGTAAAGTTATTCAGAACACTTCTGAATGCCAAGTGCTAAACTGCACGACTGTGAAGTATTAGGCACCCTATTGACCAACTGGCACTCAAAGTCAATTTTGTGAAGAGGATTTACCTGCATTTTGCCAACAGTGTACTTTAAGTTGCTTGTCACCATGCAACAGAACACATCATAGGCAACAAACATGGAAATAATGCACATAAAGAGATTTTGTTGCCTGAAATGTGATTTTAAGCTGTGCCTAGAAGACTGCTTTGAAGCCTACAATATAACATTTACTTTTTAGGGTAATCTAAAATTGGGATTGCTATCTTCTTGGATGTAAAGTTGTGTAGTTTTCTAGAATGCTGATAATAGTCTACCAGACTACACATCACTGCACCCCAGAAGACCATCTTGAGAGTCAATCCTTGAGAATATCAAACCTCACTTAAGCCATTTTAACAACATTTATACAAACTACAGTACTTAGAATGAGATTCTACGTGTATATCCATTAAATATACTCTTAAGTCAATATCACTGGCAGGCAGCAGCAGTGATTCAAATTTTCCAGCCCATCCCAATTAAAAACTTGGATCTTACACTGAGTGGTGCTAGAATTACCATTGCATTACCAATGCATTACCATGCATTACCATGTTTGTAATGTTGGTTGCATAGGAGTTATACGAAATTAGTCTTTAAATTATATGCAAATACAGTGGGACAGACATATTAATATGCTACTAAAGTGATGATGGGTTGTGTCTACCTTCCTTTCATTAAGCAGACCTAATTGTATGTAATGGCCAGGAGAAATGACCTCTCGAAGTACAGAAGCCTGAAATGGTTTTAGTTACAGGCTGGACAGGAGTGTAGCAGAATTTCCAACTGCAGCATGTGAGGTGCATATACTACAACACTGAAAGAACAGGTAATTAATCTTCTTACTACCAAACTAACATGTCACCACCTTAAATGAGAAAGCTGACATATCAGAGGTTTCTCATTCCCCACTATTCTGTTGACCTGACCAATTTGAAGCTGCTTATGCAAATGACTTAAAGAAAATGTGAAGTAAGGTAAGATAATCATGTAACTTCTGTCACAACATAATCCCATTTTTTTTGTAACAGCAATCTTTAAGAAATGGCTCATGACAGAGTACAATGGCAGCTTAATCTTTTAAAACCAAGTTTTACATGTGTTCAAATACATTTACTAGCTCCATGAAGCTGATAATCAGTCAGCTTGAGAAACTGTCTTTTATGAAAGTTGTGGTTAATCTTAGGTTCCATAGAAAGCAGAAAGATGGGTGACATCTCGAGTGATCAACATGTGTTTGCAAATGTTGGAAATCCAGAAGAGATAGGATGCCATTCCTGCACTCCTGTGGGACAGTTCTTGCTGGGAAGGTGGAAGCATTGGTAGTCTTTCTTAGAATTTTGTGAAGTTTCACGACCTCAGCTTTTCTTTGGGAATCTGAGATTTGACAAGTCCATGCAGTCATTAATTCTGGAGTAGGAGTTTCTTGAATCAATGCTTTCAGGATTATCCATCAAGGGCCTGTCTGTCATGCTGTTGAGGGCTTATGGTCAAGATATCCCTGAGAAAGGTAGCTGATTAGGAAATGTACAACTGCTGAGACCTTGTTTTCAAAATAAACCAATGGAGGATCTCGAGGGAGGCAACTTGTAACAGAAGCTGGAGGTCCTGAGGTGTCTACCATCTCAGAATAGTCTTTTCCAAGTGATAGGATGCAGAATGTGTGCCTTTTGGAATTTCTAAGTTAACAACCACTTAACTATTCAGCCAACTGGGATACATTACTTACTAGTGGTCAGTTGAACCACAACAACTTATTTAGCCACTGTGACTTAATGAAAGTACATCATTAAAGTGGATTCCTGTAAGCATAAGTGTAACTATCAGTACCAGTATATATGTTATATAACAAAATTTCTCTCTGAGGTACCTCTGCTTCATCATGGTGTGTGTGTGTGTGTGTGCATACAACCTGGGTCTTTCCCTCCTGTTACACCAGGCCATTAACACCTAGAGACCAGATATCTGACTCTACTGATCTCAGCCAAAGCTAATCACCATCCTGCCTGACCTTACCCGAAGAATGGTACAAATTCGTAGCCACTAGACCGGTGTCTACTTGCATCCACCCATCCTTATATTTTCCCAGCCTGTCATTACGACTGCCAGGAAAGTGAGGGGAAAAGAAGGATGGCACCCCAGGCAGAGGAATCACTGACATCACTGTCTGAGGATGGCTGTGGTTACATGCAATGTCTACAGACTGCAGCAGCGAAGAAACAACAACTTCAGCCAAGATCGACTACAAGTTGGATAAAGAACATACAAAAGGAAAACATTATAATAAATACTTAACAGGGCTAGAGAAGTCAAGCAGCTTGTAATAGGGTCCAACAGCAGGTTCTTGTGATAACATAAATTTTCAGATCCCATAAGATTTCTTCTAAAGGGTTCTGACAGTGCTGTATTGCACTCTCAATGAATGAGTCTATGGACTTTGCCTGTCATCCACTATTCTGAAGAAACTGGATCTCTTTCCATCATCAGGTAAAAGGGCGATCAGGCACCTAGTCAGTTGAGTCCATTAGTAACAGCTAAAATCCATCACCAGACAACAGTTTGCTATTGCAAATTTTCTTACTATCTCCTGCTGATGAAACCCAGGTGCACATATAGATGTAGTTATACAGACTTAGGTTCTCTGTAATTGAGTTTGGCTCCTACTAACAGACCATACCTTCTCACCTGAGGATAGAAATCAACACAGTTTCCAAAAAATATGTTCTTTCAGAATAATTGGCTATTGAGTCCAGAAACCCGGTAGTCTGAAATGGTATTTTTTTAATTGCTGGAGAATTACAAACTGCCATCAAAAGGTTTTGTTCCATGCAGTCAGTCACTGGTCAGTGAAGAAAATGTATATTCATAACTCAAGTAGGGGGACGACTAGTGTGATTCAGAACAGCGAGCCTTTGGTATAAGATGGAGCTAGGCACAGCTTTATTGATATTTGTACAGTACATTCAGAAAAAAAATAAAAAAGAAGTACACAGATGACTTAATGATCCGGATATAAAGGGATTATGAGAGATCATAAAATGCATTATATTAGACTAGT